GTCACCAACCCCCACTACTAAACACTGGAATCACAATTTTCTTGATAAAAGACAGTATTCGCTGTTCAAACTAATTAGATTAGATCCAGTTACTGAAACAAAATGTTCCTTTATACTGATAATGTATATGTAAAAAACCATGAGTGAGTCGATGCTTAGGTTATTAAAAACATAGAGGTATGCTTATTGCTTAAAGAAATGTAGGGTACATTTTAAAAGAATACCTTTTGTAAAAAGAATAATTAACTACCTTATCTGTTTGCTAAATTTAGATTACCAAAACTAACGGCTTTATTTAAAATGAAATATATTCTTATTTTACTAAGAATAGCTTCTGTTTGCACAAGTTGCATTGAGTTGATTCTGACTCATTGTGAGTGATCTAATTAAGACAAAGTAAGACATTTTCAGAACAGATAGCCAGGCCTTTCTTCCTGATCCATTTTAATCTAGAACCTCCGCTAAAACCTGTTCAGTATCATAGCAACATGCAAGCCCCATTGACAGAGAGTGGTGGTTGTATATGAGGTACACTGGTAAGGAATAGGAACCCAGGTCTCTTGCATGGAAGGTGAGAATTCTACCAATAAATCATGAACACTTCAAGACATCAGGCACACTGTCTTTCTGAAGATTGACAGTTTACCATCAGACTGATACCACCCCCATTAGGTCATCTGGAAATTAAGGCTTAAAAATGGGTCAGGGAACTTGGCTTCACACAGTTAATCTATAATGGAGGCAGGGCTTGAACTCCGGTTTGCAGCGCTCTGTAGTCTAACTATTACATTACACTGCCTGAGAATTCATCCTGCCAGCAAAAGATGCCAACTGAGGTAAAGCACTATGTTCTACAGTGGCAAACCAGACTTTCACATTGTGGCTGGCACAGATGTCCGAATGAATACATTTCAAAGAAAGGGAATGAGATGGGTTCCTCTTTTAGGCTTGTAATCTAATTGGAATGGAAATATTTAGAAAAACAAATAATATATGCAGAAGTGCAGAGAAAAGGCAGAACAAAGGGGGAGTGATAGAGTCTACGGAGAAGAGAATCTTTATGGAACTCTCTCTCACTGGTGCCTTGAGTCCACAATCACTGGCCTAGTAATAAGGGAACACAAGTAAATTCTAAGGCCTTTATGAGGCTCACAAGGTCACTGAAATCACATCACACAATCAGCAAAATGGAAGAAAATTCTACAGAGCAGGATACCAGGGTGTGATTACACACCACAAAGAAACATAACCACAGAGAACAGAAAAAAAGTCAGAAGAGAGGACTGGCTGTGAATGATGAAAGGCTTAGAACTGGGACTTTAGGAACGAGGACTTAAAGGTTGACTGAAGCTTAAAACTGTGATGTCTCGCCAAAGACTCTGGGAAATACCTTCTTACACTCGTACATATTTTTAAGAAACTATATATGTGCTAATGTCACTCATTTGGTTGTACAGCACTTCTCTGAAGCCAAGTATCTGGAGGAGAAACTAAGGCACAGAAATTAAATAACTTGCCACAAATTCGAAGGTACAGTTTTTAAAACGTGATGATGTCCAATCTAGTGTTCTGGCAAACAACACAAAACTACATTCTGGAAAGAGCTGGAGTGAGTGAGGACTAAAAATGATCTTCTCTAGTGAGCCTTCTGGGTGGAAAGCTTTGAGTGAAAACTACTGGGAGGTTATAAATCAGCTTCTACAATTCAGTCCTTTTGATAAAACGTGGAGGCAAAGCCAAACTACCCTGATGAGATAATTCTTTTGAGAAAGAGAGTCCACACGGAGATAATAAAAGGTGCCACTGTTCATGGATGCGCCAACTCCACAGATGAGGCACAGCTCTCTTGTGTAAACAGATTTAAGCTTAGCAGCAAAAGCTTTTCAAATTGCATTCTATTTTTGCTTAGCACACCTACCCCCCTTAGATTTCCATAAACACATTAGCTGAAGAAAACAAGTCACAAAGAAAATGTCAATATTCAAACGGACTTTTTGCCAATCTGAGTGGCCTTCCCAGAAGGCTGATTTAAGAGTAGTCCACTTTTGTTCCCTAGTGCCAGCTTGGATTAACATAGAAAATTGGAGGGTGTAAGGTGCCTGGTGGGGCTTAATCAAAGGCAATGTAGCACAGAGGAATTACTGAAACCCAAGGGAAGACTGAACATGATAGTGGGACAAGAGGAAAGTCAAAGGAAATAGAGGAGAGAACTAGGAGGCAAAAGGCATTTATAGAGATCTAAATACAGGCATGTATATATGTAAAGATATTTATACACAACGATAGGGAAATAGATCTATGTACATGTATTATATGTTAAGTATTAAGGTAGCAGATGGACTTTGGGCCTCTACTCAAGTAATCACTCAATGCAAGAACACTTTGTTCTAATAACCCAGCATTCTGTGATGCTCACCTTCCCAACATGATCGCTGAAGACAAAGCAGGTGCATAAGCAAAT